GAGACAAACAACCATTCACTCTCTCACTCACACCTAGGGACAATTTAGAGTTACCAATCAGCCTAACATGCATGTTTTTGGTCTGTGGGAGGAAACCGGAGTACCCGGAGAAAACCCACGCATGCACGGAGAGAACATGCAAACTCCACCCAAAAGGCCCCTGGACCAGGGTTTGAACCAGGGACCTGTTCGATTGTTAAATCATGTTTTTTCCAATTGATGCGGCTGTCTAAACTGAAGCCCATATTGTCCAAAAATAACCTGGAGACAGTAATACATGCATTCATTACATCTAGGCTTGATTACTGCAACTCGCTCCTGTTTGGTATCAGTCAGACCTCCAATGCACAACTACAACTGGTCCAAAATGCAGCAGACCGATTTTTAACCAGTACAGGCAAAAGAGAGCACCAGTTTTGGCCTCACTGCACTGGCTACCGGTTCACCTTTGAATCCAGTTCAAAATAGTCCTGTATGTCTACAAATCGCTGAACAGTCCCCCCCCCATCTCTCTGATCTGTTACAACCGTATGTCCCACCACGTTCCCTGAGGTCAATGGACCAGTTGCTCCAGGAACTCGTCTTAAGCGCAGAGGTGACATGGCCTTCTCTGTAGCAGGACCAAGACTTTGGAACGAGTTACCTCTGCTTGTCAGACAGGCCCCCTCCCTCTCGGTTTTCAAATCCCGTTTAAAAACTCACTATTATTCGGTAGCTTCAACACCAGAAGATCTGTGTTGTGAACCTGTACGCTCCACACTGGTTTGTTGTCATATTTATTATCTGCATCGTTTTTATGTCTATATTTTTGATTTACTTCATTTTGTATATTGCTTTGTGTGTTGTCTATTGTTCTGTCTGCACAGCACTTTGGTTGGCCTTGTAGCTGTTTTAAGTGCTCTATAAATAAAATGGTATGGTAACAGAGATCACACAGTGAATGCACTCCCCTCAAGACCCAAAACTGTATCAGCTACTGAGGGAGTAAACATAAGATATTATATACTATGTGGTGCAGAATGCAGCTTGATATGTCTTTATGTTCAGATTTGTTGACTAAAGTATGCAGCTAAAAGGATAGGTTAGGTTAAAAAGTTCATTTAGTCGGACTCAGCTAAGTGCTTCATTTACCTTCATATCAGAACTACATCCAGCATCTCTGAAAAACCACTGAGGCAAACTTTTTCAAATTGCACACTTTGATATAAGTCAAGACAATATTTTCCATATAAGTCAAGACAATATTTTTCATATTCTACACTACATGGTGCAGAATGCAGCTTGCGTCCTTGTTTATGGATATCACTATAACTGTACAGTGATGAATATTTAAGAAGCTCGTACACACAATTTATCCAGACCGCAGGAGTAAAGTGGCTTGTTGAGTACAGAGAACAAACAAATCAGCCATTTGATCCATCCCATATTTGCATCCTGCCTTTCTCCTAAAATCTGCTGGAGACGGGCACCAACTCTATGTGACCCCGGTTAGAATAGCAGGTGAAGAAAATGGGCAGATGAATGCATTTTAGAGTTGTTATGGTTTGGCAAGGCCTCAGATGTGAAAACTCGGGTGACTTTTCATGTGTTCTGTGACTCCCCAGGAAATTACATTTTCTGAATGACTCATTGCTTTTTTGTCTCCCTCCTTTTAAAATCTGAGAACTTACCAATTATTTTTCCTATAATAAATAAAAAATATTTTTTTTATTCATTTTCCCTCCTGAATTTTTTAACTGCACAACCTGTTGGTTGAAAAGTAATTTCAAGTAAAAAGCATCTTATACTTTCATAGTCTTTGAGCTGCATTGACTTGCCAGCGACAACTTATGGCTTTGATTTTATTTTTTTTAACAACAGTGATAACAGTTAAGGGAATTTGACTATCCATTTCATCGATTTGATATTTTTTAATACTTTTTGAGCTTCCCAGTTCTTGCTTTCTAAGGGAGTTGAACGAGTTCCTTCTTCAACAAAAAAGCAGTGATTTTTTTTCATCCTGTTAAATATGTTATCTTTAAATTCCAGGAAGTGTCAATCCAATTATTTAGTTATTCTTCTTAGAAGTTGTAGTTTCATATTTAGTAAATAGGGAGAAAAGTTGGTGCATCTGGGATACTATTTGACTGCTATGGTCCATCATGGAGCGGAAACATTGCACAATAGTTGGCCCTGGATAGTTGCTTCTTCTCTGGAAACATGAATAAGTGTTTGCTTCTTCTTCACACTTTGCCCTCAAGCCATTTCAACTAAGAAATATGCCTTTGTGTAAAAAGAGAGACCAAACAGAGCGAGAAAATGCCTCAGATTACAGAACCAGGTTTAACGCATTGCCGTTCCTGCCTCCCTCTAGCTTCGAACACACTATCTTTTTGTCTCGGACGAGCAGACGTGAAGCAGACAGTTGAGGCCTGTCACTCTGAGGGGTTTTATTTTGACATGTTTTGAGTCTTTTGGAAGATTTGATGATATGTTTTACTATGCATGCTCTCCTTAAGAATGTGTGCCGTCATGTTAGAGGCATTTGTAAATCAAGACCATCATTGTTGGCAACATGCTCAACGCTGCTCATAATACAAAACAAATGGATCAAATTTAGTTTTTATTAATGTACCTATTGTGCATATTTGCAACAGTTTCAATTTTCTTAATACCCCTGTTCTGCCAGAATTTCAAATGGACTCAAACAGGTACATTTGACAGCACAATCATTCAATCACTGACTCCATGCTTGCAGTAGAAATGTTGTGGAACGACTAAGTCACATGTAACACAGTGGGTCAATTTAATGTGCTTGTTTTAGATTTTTTTTCAGCACGTTGCATGGCATTGTTGTTAGAAGTGTATTTAACAAAGCATGAAAGAATTTGCTGGAAAATAACCCTTGTTTAGAGACAAATAGCCTCATTTATTGCTTTTTCTATACTTTTTTCCCCTTTCAATGTGTTCTGGGAGCTAACTTTGGCATTCAAGCTCAAGTTTTCTATTTAAAATTCACTGTTAGATGAGAAAAAAAATCATCCAATCTTCATGCAAACCACAGGGACTCCTTTTTGATTCAACCGTTTCAATCAATCAAGTCATGCACTGTGAAGCAAATATCAAGTATCTGAGCATCTGTTAACTATTAGGTCCACTGATATGACACAAAGGGCTCAAGAGGAAATGCTTCAGTCAGTAGAGTCTGTTATTGGACTTAATAAAACAAATCTCTTGCTGAAGAACTCCTCTGACCTTATGTTAGAGGCTGTGGTGAATATGAGCAATGACAGACTCCTCTCTAAAATGAAGCACGAAGGCTAAAGTGTGCAAAATATGGATCACCAATCAACAGTTCTGGGACTGGAATGTTAACGAACCTGATGCAAGAGTTCAGCGACTCCTCTGCACCTATTCTGTAACATGTTTGCTGGATTCTTATTTGCTGCCTCTGAGTCATAGTCGGATGACTTTAAATTGATTTTACATGCATACTTTTACATGAACTGTTATAGAGATCATAATTATGTTTACAAGTATAAAGAAAAAGGAAACAAATATTTGCAGGAATTCTCATTTTCAGACATGCCACTGTGATCTAATTTGATTTCTAATTGAAGTGAGCTCTCCTGTCATTCTAATCCCTGTTTTCACCGAATGAGGTGCCAATAACGTCCTTCAAAAATTTGAACTCTAGCTGCAGAAGAACACAGGCCTGGACACTTGGCTTTTGCGACTTCTTTAAATTGATTTATTCTTCACTTTCACCTTAAGGTGTAAAAGAGGCCAGAAATTGCACATAATGAACAACTACAGTGCCAATCCTGCCAGCCAGTGTGACCAAAATGGTCGCACAGGCTGACAGTTGTGTCCCCTGTGTGTGTGTGTGTGTTTTTATGAAAGTAATGCTCTGCTTTCTCCATCACAAGCCCACATTGCTGGTTGTTGGTTTTGCCAGCTCTGTGGCAGTTCTCACTTTGAGTGTTTTATATACACCTCCCTTAAATAAACTGACGAATGAAGTGCAAGTTTACCACATGTTCTCTGTGCGAGCTGAAACTTCAGCTTGTTATGTCAGCCTCAGAATCCTGAACGCTGGTTCTTTTCTATAATGAGAATGTCAACTCTGCTCTGCGATTGTGTTTAAATTCATCCAACACTTCTATGAATGGCTTATGTGCCTTCAGGGTCTGATTAAAAGATTAAACCAAATGTCTTCAAGCTACTGTTTTATATTCCATGTTTGTCACGTGTACATGAAGCAATTGCTGAAACTGTTTCCATGTAATCAGAGTGTTTTGTTACTTGTAGTATAAATCATCTTCTGAAGCTGCTGGTTGAATAATTTCACTTCTTCTGTTATTTGGTAACTTTTAAACCTATGACAAAATGGTGTCGGTAACTTTGAAGAAACAATTGTTTCCACTTGTCAGTCCATGTTAATTTTGATCTCCAGTAAATGTTGAATTCCCCTGAACTTCAAAGTTCATACTTATTCATCCAGGTACAAAACCAAGAAATGGTCAGTCAGGTCATCTGGACAGTTTCTTTTTTGTGGAAAGATGTTTTGCCCTCTATCCAGAGGGCTCCTTCAGTGCCAAGTAAACTGTTTTCCCCACTCCTCCTAGGCAGGCAGTGTGGCTGCCTGCCTGGGAGGAGTCGACGGGGACAGGACAGTCCCCAGAAACCATCCTATCACCAGCAAACTGGTTAGTCCACTAGGAGTATACTGCTCAGTGGCGATAACAGTTTACTTGGGACTCCTCAGACTGATTAAGCCCTCCGGATAGAGGGCAAAACGTCTTTCCACACAAAAGAAACTGTCCAGATGACCTGATTGAACATTATTGGAATTCCCCTGAACATTACCTACTGACCAATTAAATTCCTTTGAACATTAACCAAAGTTTTGAGCATTATATTTTCCATCTGTGCTGTTTTTGATTCTATATTTTAGCAAACTTCATCCATTTTCTCTTTGCTCGTTTGCTCTAACTGGCCTGTGTTTCTCCTTCCTCTAGACTGACAGGTAATGAACCATTATCTATCCTGCCACTGAACTCACTACCAGAAGAGACCATGGGCAAGGCCCACTACAAGCTTTGTGACCAGCTCAAACTGGAAAAGAAGCAGCGCAGGATGTGCAGACGAGACCCGGGCATGGCGGACACTTTGAGGGAGTCCATAATCATGAGTGCCCTAGAATGCCAGCACCAATTCCGCTTTGAGAGGTGGAACTGCACCTTGGAGGGGCGCCACCGGAGCAACATATTAAAAAGAGGTGTGGATCTAATGACAAAAGTAAAGTATTGATCAAGCTACAGCCTCTAATTTAAAATGATTAAACTTGCTACAGTTGTTTTTAAGTTGTTTAATTTTGAACTCAATCAAAAAATTAGTGCTGCATTTAGTTTGCATTTATCTTCATTATGGTTTTTTTTCTAGGATTTAAAGAGACAGCCTTCTTGTATGCCATCTCCTCGGCGGGGTTGATGCACGCGTTGGCCAAAGCTTGCAGCGCTGGACGCATGGAGCGCTGCACGTGTGACGAGGCCCCAGACCTGGAGAACCGCAAGGCTTGGCAGTGGGGAGGCTGTGGAGACAACTTCAAATACGCCAACAAGTTTGTCAAGGAGTTTCTGGGCAAACGCTCCAACAAGGACCTGCGTGCACGTGTGGACATGCACAACACAAATGTGGGCATGAGGGTAGGTGTGCAGAACAGAAGCACTCCTGCTCATCCATTTTGCTGCAAGGGATGTCTGATAAAAAAAATAGAAGAGCTGTGCTTTATGTGAGGTCTTCTTAGAACTTTTTGGGTGGGGGGTGGGGGGGAAGTTAGTATATCTTGGCCTCGGCACCATCAGTTTTAAAAGTTCTTGCTTTAATCTGTGGCAGACACTTATTCATGAGCATTTCTGTGATGCCAGAAACATTTTAGGGAGTTGCATTTAAAGACGACAATGTTAATCACAGAATGAATTCACAGCAGTATATCTGCAACAAAAATGGCCTCATATTAAAATTATATATTTTTACCAAAGATAATGAAACATATTAAATCACAGGACACAAATCTTACCAGAAACCAACTGGAATAGGGTCAGGGGTCTTTTGGAGCTGCATAAAGCATTTACACAAAATGTTGTCTAAATCAGTGGTTCCCAATGCTAGTCCTTGAGGAACACCATACTGCATGTTTTAGTTGCTTCCCTGTTTTGACACACCTTATTTGAACAAATGGGTGATTAACAGGCTCCTGCAGAACTTGAAGTAATTAAATCATTGAATAAGGTGTGTTGAAGCAGGGAAACAACTAAAACATGCAGGATGGTGTTCCTCAGGGATCAGAGTTGGGTCTAGATTAATTTAAGCTGATACCTTTGCATGCGCTGAATTTATTTCCTCTATAAATTAGTTAAAAATGACAGTAATGCTGAAAAACTAGAGTCTAAGACAAAGTGCCCTGTCCAAATATACAGTTAAAATGAAGACTAGTTGACACAAAATGTTCGCCACTGTGACACTGATGTAAGTTTACATGAGAGAACCTTGGGAGAATGAAATTACTGAAAAAGCAACGTTCCCTTTGAAACTTTGGAAATAAAGAAATTTAAACTGACTAAGGTTATCGTTGCCGTAAATTTGGTGACAGTAAAAGTGTTCATTAGTCACTATATGGTTTTCTAGTTCGCATTAAATAAGCACTGACTTTTTTATTTGTGCTCTGGCTCATTTCGCAAATTGTTTATGGGATTTTTTTAATCTTGGAAGTTTTTTTTTTATCGCAACATAAAAAGGAGTAGTTATATCGTGTTAAGCCAAAGCAAACTAAAGGTCTGGAATATGTTTTCTTTTACTCAGCTTTCCCCCCATTCTAACCATTTTTGTGTTGTCTCAGAATGAGTTATTGCAGAAGAACACCGACCATATGGCCACGGTGCACAATATTCTCTCTTTCAAGCTTGGCCCTCCACAATTCTTTTGGAGATTTTATTTACAACTGAGATTTACAACATTGTTTTTGCTCTCTCTTGTGTGCATGTTTTGCACATGTGCAAAAAGGTGCAAGTCCTAACACACATACTCAAAATACTTTCCCACAGTGAATACATTCCCAAAAAACTGGGAAGTGCGTTAATTTCTGCATTCCCCCCTCCATCATTTAAAAAGTTGACTCAGCAGATTTTCCTGATTTGAGGTTGTGATAAACATGCCCTTCCTGTTGTCTCATCTCTTTTGCGTGCAGTTTACGAAAAAAAGGCAGATTCTAGGACAGCATATGCTTGCAACCGAATTATGCTGCTTTTACCATTGTAGTTATTTCGCTGTAAATGTGGTAATTTTGTTCATGTTTGTTGAGCTTTCTTTATTAAAGGCTTCTTACAATATTATATTGTTCTGCTGTAGCTCACAGATCATAAGGAAAGCTTCTAATTAACTCTTTTATAAAAACAAACAGAGTTTAATGATCATCAAATCGCTCTGCTCCACCTCTCTTAAAATTATTGTGAGCATAAATTGGCTCTTTCAAGTTCTGTTTATTAAACAAAGGCTTGTTAACTTGCACAGCTTTCATGCCTTTAATGTTTTACAGTGCTTAACAGTATTCCTTTGTCTCTGCCTCAGACAATCAAAGCTGGAATGGAGACCACTTGCAAATGCCACGGTGTCTCTGGCTCCTGCACCGTCCAGACCTGCTGGAGGCAACTTCTGCCCTTCCATGAGATTGGCAAGCAGCTTAAGCAGCGCTACGAGACCTCTTTCAAGGTCGGCAGTTCCACCAATGAGGCTACTGGGGAGGGAGAGATCTCCACAGGCCGGAGCCAGCAGCAGCAGCATTCACTGCCTGGGTTGAGCGATCAAATCCCCCGCACTATGGACCTGCTCCACATCGAGGACTCGCCCAGCTTCTGTAAACCCAACAAGTACTCGTCTGGCACTGCAGGCCGTAAGTGCTACAAGGACAAAAACTGCGACGCTATCTGTTGTGGGCGAGGCCATAACACGCAAAGTCGGGAGGTGACCGGGCCCTGCCAGTGCCAGGTGCGCTGGTGCTGCTATGTCGAATGCAAGCAGTGCACGCAGAGAGAAGAAGTCTACACCTGTAAAGGGTAAAGCCATCACCTGTCAGACCCCTAGGATCAGTGAAGCATATCGATGATGGTTGTGTTGAAGATGACTGGTTGTTTTGTTCTCGTGCGGTGTTCTGTTCCCAGTATCTGAACGACGTCATGCAGAAAAAAAAAGAAGCAATAAGCACTTTGAGGACTGTTTGTGGTTTAGGGTATCAGGGGTCCTGCAGTAAAAAAAAAAAAAACTTTCTCAGACAACTGGGTCACCATCTCAAGCTTTTTATCATATTGTTGCCTTGCAGAGATTTTTGTTTCCTTTTTAAGAAATCCGTCAGCTCCATTTTGCAAGTAAAAAGAAAAAAATGCGTGTATATATATATATATATATATATATATATATATATATGTATTGCAGTTGAAGACCCAGTGCAAGGAAAGTGACACTAACAGATTGATTTGTGTGGCTCTGCCCAAAGACAAACGGTGTGTATGTGTGTGACTGTATGTGTGTGTTTCTGTAAGTACGCGGCATTGTGGAAGATAACAAGTCTGAGTGACATTTTTTATAGCGACAAAAATTAGAAACTGCTTTAAAAAAAGTGGACAGGGTGTAAGACTTTTTTTACACGCACATATTTAAACCCAAACGCATCGTGTGTTTGCATATGTATGTATATAAAAACAGTTATATTGTAATATTAAACAAGCCACTTATCTATCTTTGTACAAAACAAACCACTAAACACACAAATGTTTTATAGTTTGTGTGCAGTTGCTCATTTTTCCTTCCTGATTTAATTTGACAAGGCCCTTTGGAAAGCAACACGCTTGTGTTCGGTGTCTTGCTGTGGGTAATTTATAGATCCTCTGGGACTACTCCTTTATACGGAGAAAATCTTCTTTTTTTTTTCAATATTAAAATGAAATATGAAGCTTTTAGTACATGCAATTACAGAAAACAACTAAACCAGTCAGTTTAGGCTCTTCTTGGTCTTGAGCAAATTTATGTTCAGGGAATACCTTCAACCACTATATCTTTTTGGATAAGTTTGAAAGAAATAGTGCAGATTTAAAGAAACTGGAGTTGACAGTGGCCTTTTTCAAGCCAACAACATTGCAGCAGGTTATCAGTTGATCAGCAGACACATGTACAAGTTCCTCCAGTCTGAATTTTTGGAACTCTGTGCAGTTTAAATTTTATTATGACTTTATTTTCTTTTTAAACTTTTGAAGTTGTAAGCTGTGGAGCACTGCAGGAATGTAACTCCCTACCATTTCATATCTGTTTTACTTCTTCAGCTGCCACTATTCATTTGAGCCATATTGTGCAGCAGAAATTCAAACAGTGTGGGGGCAACTGAGAGTGAAATTTCACTCGACCTGTGTGCAGATTTGCTCAAGTGAATATCTAAGTTTACACCTTGTAGCAAATGCAAACATGCTTTTTATAAGACTAAAATTTGTGTAACGCACCACAAATTGATGTCTTAACGTAAAAAATTAATTTTGCTGCCGTCTTCTGTCTGAAGTCAGTGACGCTGTGTTTATGCACGAGTTCATTTGCCTTTTTTTCGCTCATAGTGACAGTTAGCACAGGAGGAGCATGTGGAGGCTAACAAACAAACAAACCACACAGATAGTGACACTTTTAAAGGACATGTTGACATTACTGGAAATGCACTTAATATATATATATATATATATATATATATATATATATATATAGATATATATATATATATATATATATATATATATATATATATATATTAGATGAGAAGAACATCATTATTTGTGAAATATATTCAGTAACATTGCAGCTAACCAAAACTGGCAGAGCTAGCAGTAATCAGTGCTTTGGCTAAACTTTACCATTTAGCTTATTTATCCTGTAACATTCTCTATATTAAAAAAATAATAAAATAAACCACATTAAGACATATTTACTTCATTGTTAAAAAAAAAACAGACAAACATAGGACTTAATAAACTTGAAAAGCACAAGAAACAGTGGATGCTAACAGGCTAGCTTTTCAGTACTAATGCTAAGCTAAGCTAATTGGATGTTTACCAGAACACGAAAGAGTCATGTTGACTTCAAAACAGTTCATAACTTCAAAGTGAATGAGTGCCATTCCCAAAATGCCAAACTGTTATTTAAGATGTTGCAGTTTAATGAGAAATGCATGCGCACACAAGAAGCAGAGAAAACAATAAATATTCTGGTATTATTAGCATTTAGTCCAGCATATTTCAGATTGGTGTGAATTAACTACTGAGTGAGGGACCCAGCTTTGTACTACAGCACCCTTCACGCACTGAAGCCTGAAAGCCCTTTAAAGTATTTAAAAAGCTGTATTTATGGATACAGTCCAGTGCAGAATTTTTTTTTATATATAATTTTTTGTAAATAGCAAAGGTTTCTTTTCCTGTGGTATATAGTAAAAAAATACATTGAGGCACATGTTCAAATCTCACAAGCATTTAAATCACCCTGAAAATAAGTGATAAACATTTTAAATAAACCAAATAGTTGAAGATTATCATTATCAACACTGCACTTCAAATCATAACTGTAGCACCTATAGTTGGAAATGGCTATCGCAATAACCACAAATAAATCCTGGAGTTTTAATGGTAGGCGGGGACCTTCATTTAGTTTATTTATCCTGATGGGTTGCATTCCAAACATTTTCATACGAGATGGTTTTGCCAAGCAAAGACTGGTCAAAACATATTCATAGAACTTTGCACGCTAGGTGGAAACCATAATAACTATGCAGAGACTCTGAGCATAAATGCCTGCTCTCCACAACTTCTGGTGGTTGTTTTTTAAACTTCACATACTTCTCGGCCCAAACACAGAGTTTCTGTAATGTTGAATAGATTTGCAATGGGCACGACGGATACCAAATGCATGCAGTGTGTATTTTTATGTTTTGATATTGTACAAAGCCCATACATGTCTCATGATGCAGCCAAACAAAGGATATTTAAACCTTACTGTCGTCTTTATTCTCAAAAACAAAATACTGCATCGCGAAGATGCCAGTGAATTATGTAAAAAATATATATTTTGTTGAAAATGATGAAAAATAAATTATTTTAAAATGTATTATGAACTTATGCTGAGTGTAAATAAGGTTAAAAAATATTTTTTTCCCCTTTGTATTTTGCATTTTCTTTTTCTTTTTGGTGTTTGTTCCTGTTTCGGGTGGAGGCTTCATAAAGCAGTGTGCATTATAAACACGTATCATTTTAAACATTTTTCATCAGAGCACTTTTACATCCTAACAAAATTTCCAATCGATTCACTTCATGCTGTTTTTTGTAAATCACAACCATCAAAAGGTTTTAAATGATCTGATCTGTGTTTATAAGCAACTATATATTGTGAAGAGTCCTTACGTTGTAATTTTAGTCATTCTGACGTATGGATTTTGGCAATATAAACCGATTTATACTCACCTATAAATTGTACATGTACATTTTGTTAGGATTTATTTTGTGCTTGTAAAATGGAGACAAAACACGCAAAATATGTATTTTGTTTTGTGATATTACACCAGCAGAGATTTGTTCATGTTCACCCATTCATGTCTTATGGGAACTCTAAATTATTTTCCTCTACCTCATGTGTATAGCTTGTAGGTATAAACAGATGGCAGATGACTGGTAAGAATGTATTTAAGTTATTTAACATCTTTGTATAACAAAGGCGAAAAAAAAATCGGAAATAATAAATGAATTTTTAATTTTTTTTCCTTGTGTTATTTTATTATTTGAGTCATTTGACACATTTAGAAACACAGAAAATTTATAACATTGTTAAAAAAAAAACACCTCTTTCTAGAGCAGGGTTGTTCAAGAATACCAACAGTTAACAGCTCAGGGGCTGGACATCCAACATTTAGAAGAAAGATTTATGTGTTGTCATCACTGCATGTGCCCATACAGTGATATTTGTTCTCTGCATTTGACACAATAAGCAAGCTACACACAAAAGGAGCAGTTATAGTCAAGGACAACAGGTACTGTCATTACATGAATTTAATTCACAATTTAAAATCTAGTTTTAGTTAAATGAACTGCTTAGCAGGAGGACAAAGTTACATTGCCCTGTCATAAATTGTCTATATACCAGGATCGCATCTCTGACCAAAATATTTTTCCTTTCTGATATTTTGAATCGGGTGGCATGGTAGCACAGTTGGTAAAGCTATTGCCTCTCACCAAGAATGTCACCAGATCAAATCCCAGCCAGAGATTGTTCTGAGTGGAGTTTGCGTGTTCTCTCCTTGCATGCGTGCCTTTTCTCCGGGTACTCCGGTTTCCTCCCACCAACCAAAAACATGCACCAAAAACATGCATGTTAGGCTGATTGGTAACTCTAAATTGTTCCTAGGTGTGAGTGAGAGAGTGAATGGCTGTCTCATTTGTCTCACGTGGCCCTGTGATGGACAGGAGACCTTTCCAGGTGTCCCCCACCTCTCACACAGTGACTGCTGGACATGGGCATTGGGCACCACCAGTGACCCCCGTGACCTGAAAAGGAAGAAGTGGGTAAAGATAATGGATGGATGGATATCCCCCCCCCCCCATGTAATATCCAGTTTTAATTTAAATTAACATATAGGGATGGGGCCGATATGATCCTGTATCCGTATCGGCCTCCGATACCAGCATAATTTATGTATCGGATTTTTCCAATCCAACCTGCAGAGATTTCTGATCTGTGATGTTGATCCAAGTTGGCTTCAAACTATGGAATGGATTTCCTGAACGGAGGTGTGTTTCATGAAACCCTAAGTAATAAGATCTGCCTCACATTCAGGAAATCCATTTCATAGTTTGCAGCCAGCTACAACGTGAGTAAATAATAAGGACTGAGCAGCACTATGGCTAACGGCTAACCAACTTTTCATCTAAACATGTCTGCTGTGTGGAAGTATTTTACACTAAACTCCAGAAGACAGCAACATGCAATGTCTGCAGAGCCGCTATACCAAGAGGACGAAGCTCGGTCACGACCTACAATACATCGAACTTAATAAACATTTGAAAAAGCACCACATTAAAGAGCACAAGGAATGTTTACCCAGGCACTGCGGTAAAGGTAGTTTTACGTTGGATGTTGGAGCTCCGTGGCTTCAGCGGTGTGTTCCTCTCGTTCAGTCCGAAGCAGACAGTCTGATTTCAGTCAGCCAAGCTCAGTCTGCCCGTCTCGGAGGAGGAGCAGACTGAATTGAAAAATAAAAGAAAATTATATATATAAAAAATAAACAAAAACAGCTAC